CTCAATAAAAGCGCCTATAGTTCCCCCAACGTGACTTCTAGAACAAGTCGTAGGTGCCGACAAACAAGCCAGCCGAATCATCGAAGACATTCTCCGTTTCTTCACAAAGGCCGGCAATCTGATAGCTTTTGAAATCTCGATCCCGGATTGTCCTTTCAGCCTGGGGTCGTCACATTGTCATGTTCAGCCTGGGATTGTCACATTGTCATAGCCACGCGTCCAGACGGCCACCCGCTGAGCAGATCGTCTGAGGTTCTGCCTCATTGGCCACTCAGATCTCCAAGCAATAGGTTTAGCTTACGTGTAATAATTCTTTGGACGACCGAAATTTGATCTCTCGAAGCTAAGTTAATGTATGCTACAAATATCGACTGCTGCACTCAACCAACTGGTTTTTGTTTTTGTTTTTTAAACGTTGGTGTTTTTATGTACCTATTGACACAGCTAGGGGGGGGGGGGGCCTTCCGACCCTGCCTGTCGCCATGGCCAACCCGGGCTGAGAGAGATACAACATTCGAGCAGACAGACTGAGACACTCGATAAAGATTTCTCCCCACTTTGGAAAGGAACCCGGGTCTCCTGCGTGCGACAGCGAAGGGTCTAACCGCTACACCACAGACCCCGGTGCCTCCAGCCACAATGACTTATTGTCTCCACAAGATGTTCAAATCTTCTTAGCCCAGGCAACAAAATATTTCAGAAGACAAAAAAAAAATTGGAAAAAAAATTCTTTGAACTACTGTACAGTAGCCTACCTACTTCATCATGTATCATTTCTTACCTTTTTCAATATTAGAATTTAGAATTTGATTTTAACGAAATATTTTCCAACACATGCAACCAATACCCAGCACTAAAATCATCATTAAAGTGGAGAAAAATAATGTTTTTCCAAATTGTTGGCTCTGTACATCAAAACAGCTGGTCGATGTTTTGTTTGTTTTAGTAAGGTTTTACGGCGCTCGCAACTGCATAATAAGGTCATATAAGGGGTGGATGTCAACAGAGAAACACAAACAAACGAGGAATCAGACTTACTCTGCTCACCTCTCTAGCATCAACAGCACAGAGTCTGCTTCGAATATCAAGGCACCCCGGAAATAGCAGGTCACAAGAGTGTGACAAACATACAAAAGAAGTAGAGGGAAAATGACAATAGTAAGGATTAGGAAAGAAAAAGCATCAGTTCCCCCTTTGTTGTTGACAATCGATTCCTTTGAGTCTGTTCATCGAACGGTTACCCAGCTTGTAGTAAAGGCGCTCACATGACCGTATGTAGTTGCGAGCGCCGTAAAACCTCATCTAAGACAAACAAACAAGCAGTGTATCGCGAACATCTGGGAGAAGAGACAACAGAGTGGATCAATCAGGGGCCGTAACTCGGTGTCTTTTCTTCCTGGTGCACGACCATAATTTCTGGATCTTCTCCCCTTGAACAAACTGGTGATTAATTCTTGTCAGAACCGAATTTTTTAAAGTAGGTTTGTGTGTGTGTGTGTGTGGGTATGTGTAAGTGTGAGTGTATGTGTGTGTGTGTGTGTGTGCGTGTGTGCGTGTGTGTGTGT